GTCTAAGTGTCTGACAGGACAGATGGCTTTGACCAACCTTGCCAATAAAAACTAAAAAGATGCCCAGAACTCACATTCCACAGGTGCGTTGGGGAGATTTTGTACTAACACAGATTATTATTCAGTCTCAGGCAGATAAAACCAAACCTCACTTTCATTATTGAGGTTTAGTTCATGTGACTTTCTGCTATGGTAGCATGCTTACAAATCTATGCCATGATTGACCCAACAGGAGGCAGTGTGCACTTCTCAGCAGAACTGATTGTATGATTCTGTGTGTGTGTGTGTGTGTGTGTGTGTGTGTGTGTGTGTGAGAAAGAGAGAGGGGGGGAGGGAGGGAGAGAGAGGGAGAGAGGAAGAGAAGGAGAGAGAGAGTACTAAGTCTTGAATTTAGGATCTGGGTACTGTCCCTGAGCTTTGTAAAACAAACAAACAAAAAAAGCCGAAGCTCTACCACTTGAGCTACAACTTTACTTCTAGCTTTTCAGTGGTTACTTTGAGATAAGAGTCTCATAGCCTTTACTGCCCAGGCTGGCTGAGAACCTTGACTGTCACATTGCAGATTCCTGAGCATGTAGGCACCTGTATTGTACAACAGTCTATGAGCAGACATTAGATACTGCAAACAGAAACCCCACATGGAAGAAGCCACACTTCTCTGGCTCATGCCCCTAAATTCCATCCACCAGAATTACTCTGTCAGTGAATGGCCATTCCACATGTACACAGACAGAGGCACTACAAGAACTTTGGATCTGTTCTTGGTCCTCCCAGGATTCCACAATCTAAAATGAGCCAGGTACCCAATCCCAAGGCCCTGTGTGTGGGGATCATAAAGGGAGAGTAGAAGGGGACACAATGGAACTATGTGTGGCATTTCTAGGTCACATGATGACATTATATTTAGCATTCTGAGGAAGTGCCAAACTGTTTCCCAAGTAGCAGCACTATTGAACCTTCTCACCAGCATTTCATAACAGTTCCAATTCCTCTACACCCTCATGGCTGTCTTTTTAATTATAGGGTATGAATACCATTTCATTGTGGTTCTGATTTCCATGTTCATAATACCTAATGATACTAAGCATCTTTCCATGTGTTTATTGATCATATATGTATTTTATTTAGAAAATATCTCCTCAGGTCATTTGCCCTGAGTTGTCTTTTTGTTGATGAGTTTTAAGAGCTCTTTATATATGCTGGATATAAGTCATTATCGTTTACATGATTTTCACTTTCTTGATGATGTCCCTTAGAATATGTTAATTATCTTGATGATGTTTGATCAAGATTTTTCCCTCTCGGCACATATCCCAGAGGGTAGGTGGAATTTACAAGAGAGCTTACTTGTGTGCTATATTCATAGCACCACTTCTCACAATAATCCAAAGGGGTGAATGGATGACTGAAATGTGGTGAGTACCCCACAAAATAGTATTCACATTAAACAGTTTGAGTAAGCCAAGAACAAGCTGTCTCTTGGCTAAGCAAGGCAGCAAAATGTGAACACCAGCTGCGTGGTGGTGGCTTACGCCTGTAATCCTAGCTACTCAGGAGCTTGAGATCTGAGGGTCACGGTTCAAAGCCAGCCAAAAGAGAGAACAATGATACAATTTGGGACGCAGTCAAAGAAATGTGTAGGTTGAGGCTTTTGAGGAAAAAATATTTTAACGAAAAAATAGAGAGAAGTAACATTTTATGTCATTCAAACTGAACTCAGTTGTTCAGTCCTAAGGTTCTGAGCTGCACCCACCATTTGCCAGTCTGTGTCTCTCTGTAAATCATGAAAATTGACTAATTGGCTGGATGTGCTGGCATAAGACTTAATTCCAGCACTTAGGAGGTAGAGATAGGATAATTGTGAGTTCAAGACCAGCCTGGAGGAAAAAATAGAGAGGAAAAAATGAAAAGAAACAAGGAAACAAGGAAAAGCCCTGACATTAACCTGTTTATTCACTGGCGATGAAAATGACAGTAGCTATCTCATACAATTCTACATCGATCACAGAGTTTAGCATAAAGTTTAGCACAGACTGTAACACCTGAGAAATCTCAGATGTCCATGCTACAGTTACTGTCACACATGACCTGTGATGCCCAGGGCAGGTCAAAGGCCAATATAGATGGGCTGGGGGGGTTTCTCTTCCACTTGTGTGTTTGATGTGGGATATTTCATTTCTCCTCTCTTACTTTTCCTCAAGTCCCTCTGGGCTGCTACTGTGTTTCTTAGAAGACAACTACCTGGCTTCTGAGGTAACATCTGACTTCTCACCAAGCCCACCCTGGAACCCCCAGCCCTGCTCAGGAAGCTGCTCTGGTACTGAGGACCAGTGTCAAAGGCAGCTGACACGGAGTGCTGGGTATGTGCAGTCTGGTCCCTTTGCAGATGAAAGAGTGCAACATCACAGCCAGACTGATTATCTGAAAATCCCCCAAAGGCTTAAAATCAGAACAACAAAAATCACATGCCTGGCACCCATCATCTGAGAATCTAATCCAATGTGTGTGGGATCAGGCCTCGCAGTATGTTTGCTTCTTAAAAAAAAAAAAAAAACTCCCTTGGCCATTCGGAAGCACCTCAGAGTTGGGAACTACAAAGATAAAAGATCCCCAGGTTTTCTTCCAACTTATCACTCACCCACTGCCTAGGCAATAGCTGCTGAAATTAGACCAGGAACAAACATCCACTTTCTAGTATTTGTTGGCTCCAGCCTCTAATTCCTAGCCTGCCGTTCACTAAAGTACTTCAAACCAAGTCACTGAGTCTTAATATCTATGAGTTATTCTTAGTTCTGTATCTTAGAGATAAAGATTTGTGTGTTTCTGTGTGTGTGTGTGTGTGTGTGTGTGTGTGTGTGTGCTTGCGCATACTTGTGCACGTGTGCACACATGCACGTGCTCCGTACTGGGACTTGAACTCAGGGTCTCAGCACTGTCCCTCAGCTTTTTCACTAAAGGCTGGTGCTCTACCACTTGAGCCGCACCTCTACTTCTGGCTTTTGGGTGGTTAATTGGAGAAAAGAGTCTCATGGAACTTCCTGCCTGGGATGACTTCAAATCACGATTCTTAGATCTCAGCTTCCTGAGCAACTAGGATTAAAAAAACAAAAAACAAGCATGGGGCTGGGAAGGTGGCTCAGTGGTAGAGTGCTTGCCTTGCATGCAAGTGGCCCTGGGTTCAATTCCTCAGCACCACATAAGCAGAAAAAAACTGGAAGTGGCGCTGTGGCTCAAGTGGTAGAGCGCTAGCCTTGAGCTGAAGAGCTGAGGGACAGCACCCAGACCCAGAGTTCAGCCCCCATGACTGACAAAAATAAATAAACAGGCATGAGCCACTGTTGGCTGGATGACTTTTTTAAATTCACAGCACAAACTTAGTTCCTGTGAAATGCCATAACACTTTCACCAGAACTCAACTCAGCTACAAAGCTGACTATTCTGATTTACTTCTATTCCTTTCTCTTAAACTCTTGATAGCATTAATAATAAGCAGGTGACTGTCAACATGGAAACTGAGTGAAGGTAACCACTGAAGAAACCCCAGGGGAAAAAGCAAACTGAAGGCTCCAAACCGAGTCATCAACTCCACAATAACAACACAAAAAATGCAATCTTTCAGAAAAACTTTGCCACATCTGGAACAAACAAGTTCTCTCCTTCTTGAAAGTGTGAGTTATGGGGGCTGGGAAGGTGGCTCAGTGGTAAAGCGCTTGCCTTGCATGCCAGAGGCCCTGGGTTCAATTCCTCAGCACCACATAAGCAAAAAGAAAAAAGCCGGAAGTGGCGCTGTGGCTCAAGTGGTAGAGCACTAGCCTTGAGCTGAAGGGCTGAGGGACAGTGCTCAGACCCAGAGTTCAGGCCCCACAACCGGACCAAAAAAAAAAAAAAAAAAGAAAGTGTGAGTTATGTATCTTACTGTTTTTCCTTTTTGGTCATGGCTGCCAGGAAGTTCTATGTGAAATCATAGCCTAATTTAGCATTTGTGGATAGTATTTTGCCACTCTTTCCCTGGTCTGCATTTTTAAATTTCTAGATCCTGGCATCAATTTTATACATGTTTATTAATATCTGTTGAAAGTCACTTCAAATTCTTTTTAGGAAGCAGTAGGGTAAATCACATAATTGCCTACTATTTGATATAGTCCATTAAAATTGCACACAGTCTAGCTCTTCTGAAGTTGGCTCATCAGAACTAGCCACTGCTCAAAGCTCCTATGACATGTACTTCTCCTGGGCTTAATTTAGTATTCAAAGGCCACAGAGAAAATTATATTCATTACAGAACAAACATGCTTCGCTTCCTATGTCAGCTGAGTCTCTTCAACAAGACATTCTGCCTTCAAACTCAATCACCACGTTCCATCCCCATAGCGTTCTGGTGGCTGGAAGTAGTGGCTACCGTTTTCTATTCATGTTTCCTCATCAGACTACAAGTGTATGGTCTTACAATTCACCATCAGAGAAACTTCAACATCTAATGTGGGTGCCTTCAATACATTGAATTATCTGCCTTTGTAAAGACAATACATTTTTTCCACCTGCATAAATCACTTTACAAGATAAGAATACAAAGGGAAAGTAACAGAAATTCAGTATCTCTCTGCTCTCTGGAAGGACATATTGCTTCTCCTTTCCTGCCACGGTTTCATGTTTTGAAAACCATATGAGATGCAAACAATTTCCAACCCAGCAATCGATAATAAGGTTTTCATACAAATGAATTCTTATTTCAGCATAAAAGGAAGCTTGCTGATTCATCATTTGGTGGCACCTCCATCTATCAATTTAGTTCCATAAATATTAATCAAACTCCTGTGATGCGCCAAGCAATAGATGAGGTACAATTGCCTTTCCTTTCCCCACATGTTAACTTTGGGGGAGCCCAGAGGCATTTTCTGCAGTGTGGTTGTGCTAGTTCTTCAGATTTCTGAGGATTCTTGCCCTCTCATCTCCCCTTGGGTCCCTCTGCCAGCTGACTCTTCCTCACACCCCACACTTACCCACTCCATGGGTTCCTGTCGAGCGTGGCCTGTAGCAGCTCTGAGAGGCTGTGCTGTTCTTGTAGCCCTGTTGCTGGCTCTGCCTGCACAGCCAGCACTGGACTCCATCCACCCCCCTCACCTGATCTGTCCTGTTTTCTCCTGCCAGCTCTTTCCCTGCCTGGTCCCAGCAGACTCAGGTGGAGGTCAGAGATGACTTCGCTGCTCTTTCAAGATCAAGAGCTCTGTTTTTCTATGGGTACTAAGTCAGACCAGCAAGCACTCATTTCCTCTCCAACTATGCTGATGCCCCGAGTGTCTGCTTACCAGAGACACCAGGCAAGCTGAGTGTCCTTTCCTCTTACTATTTCTGCAAATACAGAAGCATCTCGGAGACTCTGCTTTAGACCAAAATGTAGAAGAGGAAGCAACTGTGGGTGAACAGAGTTTTCTCACCAGAGTTTAAAAATGATTAAAACTAGTATCTAGAACTTGTCCTGGCAGGATCCCAGGCGAGGGCACAGAGGGTGAAAGCGGCAGATGCCAGAGCCCAGGAAGGGCTCCACAACGATTATGCAAAGCACTGGCCTTTCATGCTTTGATGGGCATGTGCTCATTTTTCCAACTTCCAGAGCCCTCAATGCAAGCAGGCTTAATGGCAGCCACTGGACTGAAAGGTAATTGGGAGCTGAAAATAGAGACTTTGCCTCATTATAATAATTCTCTACCAGAAGTGTTTGTGTATCAGAAAAAAAAACAACTATTCCCTGGGCTCCAGCTTGAAGAGATAGCCATTAAAGATTTCAAGGGAGTATGCCTTAACAATGTTTTTAAGTCCACAAAAAGCAAATACCAGGGACCCAGGAGATCTAAACCCATTTCAGGTCATTAAGATGTGAATGGACTAGGTTAAAAGCACGAGAAGACTCTGCTCACTTGATCCAAGGAATGCAAGCTTTTTCTGCTCCTCCCTTTCTTTCCACCTTCAGTGCTCCTCCTCTGTCTTCGGCACCTCCACCACCCTTAGGTGGCCTCTTGTAAAAGGCAGGATGTACTGAGCAAGGGAGAGACCACAGTCTTCCACGTTTCTTGTCTTCTCCCAGCCTAGACATTTTCCCTTTCATGGAGAAACCTTGGGGACAACAGTTAAACACAGTAAACACAACAACTACCACAACAGATTTACTTTGCTCTCAGAAAAGGCCAATAAGGACTAAGTACTTCTCAATCCATTTTTGGTTACAGAAGCTTATATATAAAAAGGGGTTCATTTTTCCTTATATCATAAGGTATCTGGGTGTAGACAGTTCCAGGGATGCTTTGGGAAACCATTGATGCTAGCACAGAGAACTGACATCTCTGTGATTCTCCTTGTCTCTTCCCTCATGGTTATGACATAGTTGCTACAGCTCCAAGCATCACAACAGCACAGCTGCATTCAAACCAGGGGTCAGGGAGCAGGGGTTCTACACAGGGGTTCTCTCCTCTCTTCCCCCTTACATTGAAAGAACTTCTCTTCCCAGAGGTCCCCCAGCAGACTTCCCCTTCCAGCTCAGGCACATACCGGAAGGCACTCATTCATCTGTCCCTAGGGCCAGGGGCAAGACACAACTTTCCAGAGTTCAATGACTTCTGCCAAAGAGGTAAGGTTGGGTCAAATAACAGTGGCAGGCTGTACTACCTCTAATGTTTAATAAGGAGACCAGGGCTCAGGGAGGCAACAAACATATCAAAGCCTTACTCTGCCTATGTTACAAGGCTTCTGCTGAGACCCAGGAAACCTGTGTTTAATGTCTCCCTTCTTTCTTCACATAACTATGTGTGTACATATTTTTATATATGCACATATATGTATATGTGCATATATATACCTATATATGTGTGAATATAACATATAATTTCATATCTTATGAATATATAGTATATTATGTATTCAATATAATCTATATTATATATGTTATCTACTCATATTTTATATATCTTAACATAACCATGCTAAGATTGAATTTGACTGAAGACGTATGCAAATCTCACCCGGGACTACGTAGATCTGCTGCCTCCCACTTGCAAAGAGTAAATCCAATTTTGTCAGGTACAGAAAAAAAAGCCAGTTCTCATCTACCAAGCCAGGCGGGGAGCCTCTCACAGGGTCACCAGCAAGGCAAATCACATTAACCAAGCCACAGGAACAAAGCCTCACAACTAGGAAGGGGTGGAGGTGTTCTGTAACCTGCCAGGATACAGCCCTTGCCTCCCAGGCCCAGGTTAAGGTGCAGTTAGCACACGTGGCATCAATCCTTTCCCTCCTCTCCCCCCAGGTCAGCCGCTGCCGCCTCCTTCTGCAGGCCCGCAGGGGCTTCCTGGCCTAAACAGTGCATTTACCTTACAGCAGTCAGCAACAAAACACAACCCACAATGAGGGAGTAAAAAATCATTTGCTCTTGAGCGCTGGAGTATTCACAAGAGGAGCAACAGTACTGGCAATTGAACAAAGCCAGCTCGTCAGCTGTCACAACCAAGATTTTAAAGAGTTAAAGCAACTAACTAGCAAAATCACTTTACTAGTGCCTCATCAAAGCTTGGAAGCCTGGCAACGCTCTCCCTAATCCTATCCACAATGATGAACAATACCCACCCAGAACAAAGAGTGTATAAAAAAGTATATAACATTTCATACAACATCTTGGGTGTATTTTTTGAAATGATGAATTTTTGATATTTGAATATACAAAAATATATATCCCAGTTAGCACAAAGCATGAAAATTACTTTTGTCTGCTAAGTCTATTTGATCTATGGTGCAGTTTAAACTGAAGTTTCTTTGTTGAGTTCTTATCTGGATGATCTCTCTGTAAGAGTGGAGTAGTGAAGTCATTCACTTTGATTGCATCTGGACTATCTGTCCATTCGTGTCAGCAGTGTTTGTTTTATGAAATTGGGTGCACCAGTATTCAGTGCATCTATATTTACAATTGTTATATCTTCTTGATGAGCTGTTCCTTTCATTAACAGGTGGTGACTTTCTTTACCACTTCTGACTTCCTATACTTGATGTATGATTTTAACTTGACGTATGCATTGTCACATATGAGTACTGTTAGTTCTGCTTCTTATTGAATTCTATTTGCTTTGAATATTGTTTTCAATTCTTTCACTTGAGTCTGTGCATGACTTTGCCAGTGAGGTGAGTTTATTATAGATAGAAATATGAATCTTATATTTTAATCCATTCATCCAGCCTGCCTCCCTCTCTCTCCTCTCTCTCTCTCTCTCTCTCTCTCTCTCTCTCTCTCTCTCTCTCTCTCTCTCTCGCCAACTCTGGGGCTTGAATTCAGGGCCTGTCTCTGAGCTCTCTTGCTCAAGGCTAGTGCTCTACCACTTGAGCCACAGCTCTACTTCTGACTTTTTAGTGGCTAACTGGAGATAAGAATCTCACAGATTTTCCTGCCTGGGCTGGTTTGGAACCATGATCTTCAGATCTCTGCCTGCTGAGTAGCTACAATTACAGATGTGAACCACTAGTGCCCAGCTTCAGTTTGCATCTTTTAATTGAACAATTAAGTCTGTTTACATTTGGTGTTATTATTGAGAGAGCTGTACTAACCTCTCTTTTTATCTTAGAGGTTTTCTGGTTAATAATGTTTGATTCATTCCTAATTCTACTTCTAGTGAGACTTATTCTCTTCTGAGCTCGTCTGGCTGTTTTTCTTCCTCTTTTATGCATAGGGTCTCATACTTGGCTTGTTTGCTCAGCGGACACTCTACCATTTTGAGCCATGCCTCCAACCCTGCTTTTTGCCAGTTTGTTTTTTTTTAGAGATGGAGCCTTGTAGACTTTTCTGCATGGGCTAGCTTCCAATTGAGATCACTAATCATTTTGAAAACTACACTTTTGAATTATTTGGCATTTCTACAATTTCAATACCTTTTATTCCGTTATTGAATTATGTCACCTTGCTTCTTTATTCTGTGATTTGTGTATCTACTGGGATAAATATTTCTCCCAATTTTATTTGGAGGTGGTCTTAATGAGCAGACTGCTCTTGAAGGTTCAATTCCTAGTACCAGTCAGGAGGAGTAGAAAAAAAATCCACTATAATAGCAAACCACTGTTCAGACTAGCGGTGGCATTGAGCGATAGGCCAGTCAGTTGTCGCTTCCAGGTTGTGTTTAGAAGCTGTGTACATATAGCCACTGCTGGCCCAATAAGCTTTTGTAGCCTGTGGGTGAGGCAGAGTCTCATTTACTCTATAGGCCCCTAGTTAGTGTACCCATGACCAGTAAATGTCCATCCACAATTAGGGATGTCCCTTAAGTGTGTCAGAGAATGGGGACAGCAAGCAGAGCACTGAACTCTACACGCTATGGGTAACAAGGGATCCAGGAATTCTGACTACAGAGTTTAATGGTAAACTTACCTGTAGGAAAAAAAGCAGGATGGGAAAATCTAGACATCCCCTCCCACAAGGGCTCAAAGCTCTGAGTTCAGCCTAGCCACAAACCACACAGCAAGGAAGCAGCACCAGAGGCTGCTGGGAGCTGGTAATCTCTCCATAGGGAGTGGGACCAGTGACCACAGTGACTTTTACAGTCTAGACCCCCCGCAGGCCTATGATGTCTGGCCCTCCCCAGGTACACACTGTGGGAGTGTGCCCAGGCTCCCTGACTTGTGATTGTTTCTGGTTTTTCAGGTCCCTGGAGTGGCTGATTCCAATTAAGACGCCCTCTCTCAAGATGGTGCCTGACTATAGTTCTCCACAATACAGGGAATGACAAAATGCATTAATTTTTTTTCAATGCTGGGTGGCCACACAAGAGTCGTCACTGTCCTATCAAATCCCCACACTGAATTTAAGGCTTGAGAGAACTGAGGGCTTAATCTTTCAGCTAGAACCAGCAATCTGTGTCACCTCTGGCAACCTGATTTATCTTGTAGCTTGGCTTTGTTGCCACCCCCACTCAGTTGGGGTTGGGGTTGGAGTCCCTATGCTGGTTGTGTCCCTGTGCTAGTTGAGCTATTCTGTCACCTTTTCTTGTGATTCCTAATGCAAGCTCTCTCTCTCTCTCTCTCTCTCTCTCTCTCTCTCTCTCTCTGTCTGTCTCCAGAATAGTCTGTCCTTTGTTCCCAACTCTTCTCATTCAAAGTCACACAGAGAACATTTCTAATCCGCCACCTATCCTGCAAAACCTTTATTTTTGATTCTCTGCATATGTTTTTCCCCTTGTTAAATCTTCCAAGAAACCCAAAGGAGGTACATAACATGCATTCACATTTTAAATAAAAGAACAATGAGATGAACATTCATGTACTCATGGGTATTCTGAGAAACAGA